TCACTTTAATAGTTGCGGAGAAAACCCCCTGTCAAATTCAGCTTCTCTGTAAATATTTGGATGTCTATGGTGAAGAGATGAATTTGCGAAATAGAATTCTGGTGGTGGTATTTGGTTCTCTGAGCTGGGTGTTTTGGTTGTGGCGCTTTCATTGTTCTTCTTCTGAACAACATCAGCACAAACTTCAGATAGAAGAAGTGAAGTATTCGAATTTCTCCACTTATGACTTGTAGCTTGTTCTGCTAACCTCGATCTCGATTGGTTGTTGTTGCCCTTTAACCTGTCGTTGTTTACACTTTTGTTTTGATTGTATCCCCCTTTTGATCTGTTTCTTGATCCTATGTCACCTATGATTTCCCTGATTGGTTGATAAATTGGGTCGATGTCGATGTGATTGTTGATTGCTGATTGACCTGAGTGTCAAGCTTCTAAAAATTCCCTGGTGTTATTTGTCCTCCCCCTACCCAGTATTTCCACATTGTTCCAATCAAATATGTGTTCATAATTGTTGGTGTGTATTGATATAAGCGAAGAGTTGTCGTGGCGTTTGACTGCTAATTGATGTTCACGTAAACGGAGCTGAAGAGGCCGTCCACTTTGTCCTATGTAGTGTTTTTCACAGTCAGAGCAATTTATTTTGTAGATGGTATTTGGCTTTTCTTCCTTTGTCATTTTGTCCTTTGGTCTACATAAGATCGATTGAAGTGATTCTGTTGGTTTGTGTGCCACACCTATTCCAAATGGTTTCAGTAGTCGTGCTGTATGCTCCGATATGTCTTTGATGTATGGCAGGATGATCCGTTTATTGGTTCCTGTGCTTGATTTCGTTTCTGATGATGGTTTCGGTTGATGTTTTTTGATGAAGTTGCGTGGATAGCCGTTCTTTTGGAAGATAGTCGTCAGGTGTTTTTCCTCGTTTTTTTACTGCTTCGTATGTGCAGCAGTGTGTCTTCGCTCTCTTGAACAAAGTTTGTATGCAGTTGATCAACCATTGCAGTTTATCAATCAATGAAGAAAATCATAGGTGACATAGGATCAAGAAACAGATCAAAAGGCGGATACAATCAAAACTAAGGTGCGAACAACGACAGGTTTAAGGTCAACAGCAACCAATCAAGATCGAGGTTAGCAAAACAAGCTACAGGTCAAACGTGGAGAAATTCGAATACTTCACTTCTTCTATCTGAAGTTAGTGCTGATGATGTTGTTCAGAAGAAGAACAATGAAAGCGCCACAACCAAAACACCCAGCTCAGAGAACCAAACACCACCACCAAGATCATCCACCTGAGCTACAAGTGTTTCCCACCATCTCAAATGGAATTCTTCTGTACACATAATTTCAGTTGTAAATTGGTTATCCTCAACCAATCTTTTATGTCAGATAGGTTTAAAAGCAGTGAAATCCAAGATTCTCTCTTCGTCTTATTTGGAAAACATCAACAGAATTCACTTTCATGCATGCTGATGTCCAACCTAGGAATGCAGTACGTTCAGCTTCAAAATCCAACACTTAGGTGGCAGGTATATCCAGCTGAACACGTGGAATGATGGCTTCATTGAGGCAATTTGTGCAGCATGCTCAAATGTCAATTACAACTGACCGAAATTCAGCTACATATATTCACAACTAGGTAATCTTAACAAGTGCAAACTAAATTTTCATCACCATAGACTCAACATTCGATGTGTTGTTCATCATAATAAAAAGGTTATATTGTTGTACCACCGAAACAAGTATAAAATTGAGTTAATGGCGTTTTATGACGCAGTCAAAACCCCACCGTTCAGATAATAAATATTCGTTTTGGAAAAAGAAATTTTCGCTTATTTGTAAAATCTTGTTAGTTTATCTTGAAATTACTACTTACGAACTTATTAACTTATACATACCCACTAATATTGAGGCGGCGTTAAAGTTTCAGACTATCATTTTTCAATGTTCTTGTTCGACAACTGATGATCAGGAAACATATCATACTATTATCAATGGGATGAAATATTATTGCCAATCAGAACCTCCACTTAGTTATACTTACCTACTCAATTACGCCTGTTTCCCACATTGGAGCATAGGCCGCATAGCAGTTTTCTTCAACCTACTCTGTCCTTGGCTTCTTTTTCCAGTCTCGGTCAATTTTATTGTTCATTCTTTTCATGTCTATCTCCATTACTCGGCGTAATGTGTTTCTTGGCCTTCTTCTTTCCCTTTTTCCTTGAGGCTTACAAATGAGGGCTTGTCTTGTGACTCAGTTGTATGGTTTCATCAATGTGTGTCCTATCCACATCCAATAATTTCTCTAACTTCTCCCTCCACTGGAATCTAGTCTGTTTTTTTCCTGACAGTAGGATATTGCTGATGGTGTCTGTCCAACAGATTGGTAATACTTTGCGTAGACAACTATTTATAAATGCTTGTATATTGTGGATGAGTGATTTCGTGGTTCAGTGTTGTGGATCGTTGTTTTAACTTCCAGATGTTCCTCAATTGTACAGTTACTACCTTCGTTTAGCCAATCTGTGTCATAGTACTGGATGATATTCATTGTAAACCCCTCGTTGTATGTTTCCAAATATGCTTTTATGGTCCCAGATCCATGAGCTTCCTATCGTACCAGTGCTTTTTGTGCTTGTTTCCACAGCATCTGTGCAACTCCTTGTGTTTGTGGAGCATTTTCTTCTTGATAGCCGGATTATAACAGCAACTCTTTGTTCTCCATCCTGCGTCCAATGTATTTCACTGATTTCAAATACCACCATGTTTTCCATTTTCATTTCTGAGACAATAGCGAATACACGTAACGAATTTATCTAGATTAGGCTATGTCTAGTTTCACTTTAAAATATGTGACGTCAAGTTGATGTTTTTGTAAAAATACAGACAATTGTAATATACACAAACTTTGAATTGATTTAAGATACAAGAATTAGATAACAATCAGAACAAATGCATAGAAATAAACTATTCAGGATAGATGGATTGTAGACAACAGTAAAATTCATGATAAACATTTCGTCTTATTTCAGACTCATTAGCTTCATTTCAAGTCCGAAGTTCAGGTTATAGTGTGAACAGTGAAACTATGTTGTAAGCGCAGCTACTTGATGTGTCCTAAATGGGACAAACCACGAATTATGGATTCTCCTTCTAAGCATAATTCACACCGACGGGAATCTCACACGGTTTGCATATATAAATATATATATATATACTAACAAGAACCGATCAGAAATTGTCCTATAATATTCAAAACCGGCATAATTTGACTCTTATGGCTAATGATATCAAAACAATTGTTTCGTGAATACTTTCATATGTAAACATTTGTTAAACTCTTAGGTTTCATGCCATGTATATGCAAATGTTAAAAGTGATAAGTGATTTTCAATAAAGGACCTTTTGTAAATACTAATTCATTTTGCTGAAGCATTTCTGTCTAAACTGTATTTGAAAATTAAATTAAAAAAGTACAAAGTATCGTAAATGTTCATATGGTTCCGGGTTTTTTATGTTGATTTTTTACATAAAGAATATGAAATGCAACTGTTTTCGTTCGATTATCATGACTTAAAACCAGCAATCTTCTACACTTAATGTGTAAACATCAAGGGTGAAAAAAGGAAGTTACGATTGCAACTACTGAGAAGATTGAGGCAGGCTAGGAAGATTGTATTGTGCAAATTTACACTCTAAGTTACTTAAAAACGAAAACATTACAATGAATACTCTATTTGCACACCATCTTTGAGTCGTGACTTCCAACACTCCATCCTTCTTCCATTCCTGTTGTTGCTTCCTTTCCTTCCTGTTGGTACTCCATTTACTTGCTGCTTTTGCTCCATTTGCTTTCCGTTTTCCTCTTCTGACCGTGTGACTTCTTCTTTCACGTCCCTTCTTATACTACTTATATCGTTCGTATAAGTAGCACACACCATACTACTACTGAAAATACATTTCATTTTACATTGATTTTAAAAAAATTGGTTTGAAGTTAATGTACTCTACAACCAAGTAATGTATATTTGTAATCATGTCTTGATAAGTCATTGACTTATATTATGTTTTGTATGTCAGTAAATCATGTATTTAATAACGTTCGTTATTCAATTATCGAGTGTAACCATTAATGATGTTTACGTGACTAAACTGAAAAAGATCATGTAATGAATAGTAATTATAATTGGAAAGAGAAAAAATAGTACACTTCCTTTCTGTATATATATATATATATATATATATATATATATATATATATATATATATATATATATATATATATATATATATATATATATATAACGTCAGAAATACTTGATTTCGCCATTTTCTGAAAGATACAGTTGAATTTATGCAGTAGGGTGGGTCAATCAATGCCTTAGGGAAAAGAATTTCCAACTTTACCGACCAACATCCTTAAATTCAAACTTATTCACTTTTTCTCATACATATATCATTAATCTATCATTATATATATCTTTTTTTGAAACTTAGCTATGGTTCTTCCGTTTTATATAAATCTTACCTACTGCAATTAAATCATTGCTCAAACACTTAGTTTATGGTGTGTTTCTTTTTTACCAGAAAATCAATGGTACAGTGATTTAGATTTACGTACACTTGAACGACTTCGAAAAAATCCCATTTCAAATGCAGATTTTAAATCAATAAAAAAAAGGAGATAAACTATATCTCTCAGTGACACTTCACCTTTGGCTGTAATCATCAGTTGCAGATTCAAAACCAAGACAAAATTATAATCACAAATTATTGAGATGATTATTAAAATTACTTACCCATTAAAGTAGTTATTTTTAACCAGAATTATCTTGACCAATCAAATAAACCATATTGAAAGTTATTTGTGATTGGTAGTTTGATAATAGAGTAATTTATTTCCCAACACATTTACGTAACTAAAATCAAGTCTGTCTGGGGATGTTAGTGTCGTCATTAAACGAAATTGTTTCTGTGCCACAATCAATTTGATAATAATAATAATCATGACTTCTTCTGGTCCTTATTTTGTGTGTGATTATATTAAACAGTCAACTATACAAATACCATCTTCACAATCAATCCCATTATCAAATGATGGATTAATTAAGAGTCAATCACAACAGTATATGGATAAATCATTTGCAAATGATAATTTATCAGAAACATATACAGAAGTTACCAGTATACCATCATCTTATATTGATTTAACAAATATCAAAGAAGATTATCAGTTGAACTTATTCAACAATAATAATATTATTTCATTCGATACACTATTCATTACTGTTCAACATAATTCAACACATTCATATTATTTCACTGATGGTATTCCGCTGTCAATTTCATTTATATGTCAAGCAATTGATATTATATGGAATTATATACCCCCCTTAATATTTTTTATTGGTACAATTGGAAATTTATTCTCATTGTTAGTTTTCTATAAACGTACTAATTTATATCCATCATCATGTGTTTATTTAATTTTTTTAGCTATTGTAGATGAAGGTGTACTATTGACTGGTCTACTACGTAGATGGTTAGATATTTTATTGTTGATACGTTTAGAAGATAGACATTGGTTTTTGTGTAAATCAACACAATTCATTGGAGTGACTACAAGTTATATTTCTGTATGGATTATTGTTTTAATCACTGTAGAACGTACTATCATTGTTATGTCACCAATTAGTTCAATTTATACTAATCGAATTAAACGGTCGTATATATCGATTATAATCTTGTGTATTTTAGCATCGATTGTAAGTGTACACTTTTTTATCACAGTTGATTTAGTGACAGTAGCTGCAAGTCATCTAATTTATTTTGAATCAAATAATAATACTAACTCTTTATTCACAATTAATGAGAACTATTCAAAATTAGATGTGAATAGTTCTTCTTTTTCTCAACTAATGACCAATGTTATTAATTCACATGATTCAAACGCATTAATATGTGATTTTTACTATGCATTTAAACAAAATGGTTTTCAAACTTTCTGGATTTGGATTGATGCTACATTGTATAGTTATTTACCATTTATGATTATTCTAATTTCAAACATACTGATTTTAATCAATATGCATTGGGCTACAAAACAACGTGCTAATTTGATTGGTAAAGTTGCATCAACAAAACGTCTGTATCGTTGTACCGATAATTCTAAAATTATTGTCCAACATTTAACCAACAGAAAAATCGATAATCTGCCACTTAGAATGAGTCATCATTGTCTTAGTCATACAGTTAGTTTTAAAAACCAACCATCTACATGTTCTTCTCAATTCTTTATTCCAAAAAATGAGACAATTCAATTGCGAATAGCATCCCGACAAATTCCAAGTGCCGCTTCTTTCAATAGCTTCAACAGTGATGAAATACATAACGATAATAATGAAATGTATAACCCAAATAATGATAATAATAATAACAATAACAATAATAATAACTGTAAACATCCAAATGTTGTGAATATACCATTGCAACCATACAATAAAATCCAAGGTATTTCAATTAAAACAACCAATTTAATTGAAAAACCTTGTACATTTTATTACAATGAAATGCGTCAATTAACTATATTATTATTATTAATATCAGGTGTTTTTCTTTTGACTACTGCACCAGTTGCTTTAGTGAAATTATTATTAGCTTGGAAAATACAATTAAATTTACATAATATGGCTTTATTTGAATTATTCGATTGTATTGCTGAAGTGTTAATGTATACAAATCATGCAATTAATTTTTATTTATATTGTGCTGTTGGATCAAGATTTCGTAGAGAATTAAAGAAAATATTTTATTGTCAAACAACAAACAGAAGAAAATGTAAACATGGTTGATGATGATGAAATGATTTGAAAGATGGACAATTATTGATTTCAAAATGGCGGAAACATTACACAAGGAGTAACAAGAGAGTTTGTTTGCTTCTTCATGAATGAAGTTTTTGAGTTTATATGCTTTTCATCTAGCACATAATGAAAATGTATACTCTTATATGTGTCTGTAATTCATTGATTCTAATAGAGCAGCAAAATGAATAATCTCATCATTGTTGATTTATTATTTGTGCTATGAATTGTGTTCATTTTCTTTCTCATATTGATTGTTAATAAATATTGATTGTTTATTTTTTAAAATGATAAAATATGCTCACTTGACAATTTCGTCTGTATGGATTATTACAAGATCGTATAATGGTCCAGTTCATTTTTATCAACGGAAACAATAAGTACTAAGATAAAGTTAGTCAAGTCTACCATGATTGAAAGAAAGTTAGAGGCGGCCAAACCAAAACATGGCACATATGCATGAAGTCACTAACAAGTGAACTGAGTCATATTGGTAGATGTAGGCTATCTGGTTGGGGTCCACGAGACGAAATTTATCAATGGTTATAGACCTTGAACGACATGGATCAGAATCGTTTGCAATGGCGCAGGTGAATCCACTGTTTGTTTGTGTTCCTCATAATCTCTATTTTTCTCCTTCTAAATTTATCTCACTGAATTATACTTTTCGAATCATGTCTTCGCTCCCTAATCTTCTCCATTACTGCTAATACTTCTACTATTGCTATCACTGTTGGATTTGAACTGACAGTTGCGTCTCTGTGCTGATGTGGTATGGCAACCTGAACTGATGTACTTACGTACGAAGTTCTAAATTGTATCTATCTGTCTGTCTATCTACCATGATTGAAGTGTAAGATTATTTAATGTGATATAATTTTCAGATTGAATATTATTGAAATTAATTAAATTTCTACAAGAAATAGTGTTGGTGTAAAGTAACAAGTGTAAGTAGCAAGGTTTATTTAGTTGACTTAATAATTGAACATTTAGGGTTTCTATAATCTCTCACCAATGTAATGGAATACATTTACGGCAAAGAATTTTCAAGATTCGCATTGTGAAAATTAGAACAACACATATAAGCGAACAATATTGTTTTCGATTAGATCGTCATCAGGCTTTACTCTAATATACATGAATATTTATACTTGAAAATGTTAAACCAATCAAGGCAATTTGAGTCAATAATCACAATGAAATGAAAAAGATTACGTAACTAAATATAATAGCATGGTTTACGAAGGGTCAGTCAAAAACAATACGCAGTTCTATCTTAGCAAACCTGGTAGATAGTGGGCACATTGTAGATTAATCTAGATCTTTTCGGGTGATCTATCGTATACCTCCATCATTTCCCAACGGAGTTCGATCCCGTCTCCCACACATTGCAGAAGCCATAGGAATAAGTACATTCAACCCTAATTTATGTGTTCAGAAGAAATTCGTGACACCCCTATCTCTTCCGTGGCCGGATATGACGTAACTAACGATGGACATTATATTTTTTTTATTTTATTTCATTTTTACACATTTGCTTACTACGTGATGTTTTTGATGTTTTTGATGATTATTTGAATTCTCATTACGGGGTTATGAAGATTGTTAAGCTACACATTTTTGAAACCATGAACCGATCAATGTTAGACCACCATTAGAAACCTGGAAGCACCGGACGGGGAGTCCCATACCAGGACGAAACGGCCGTCCAGTGCTTCTTCAAGGTTCCTAATGGTGGTCTAACATTGATCGATTCATGGTTTCAAAAAATATTTGAATTCTATTCATCCACCTTTGACCTACTTTAGTTATCATATTTTATAAATTTCCTTACTACTATCAGTACACCTGTTTTCCTACTATCCACTTGAACTTTTGCCTATTACATGTAGTTACGTAATCTTTTTCATTTCATTGTGATTATTGACTTACATTGCCTTGATTGGTTTAACGGTTTCATATAAATATTCATGTATATTAGAGTAAAGCCTGATGACGATCTAGTCGAAAACAATATTGTTCGCTTATATGTGTTGTTCTAACATTTGCAACTGTAAGCACATTCAAGGCACTTTCTGAGGATTAGTAGGCATCCATGTAGTGAACAAAGGATGGGAGAGATTTTGTTGCACGGCTAGATCCTGGTATATTATTCTAGAGTCTCGAAAATTCGCTGTTGAAATAATTCATATAAAGAGAAGACTTTGAATGAGATTTTACAACTCATGATAAAAGGTTTCCAACATTTAGCGGCTGCGTTGAACTCGAAGTAGGGCTGACCGTTTTAGTGGCCCGCGATGACTCTGATGTTTACGAATGTTCGAGTGTGGGATGAAGTAATTCTTTGGTGAACCCCGTTTGTGCGATGGCGGTATAAAAATGTCGTATACGAACTCGGTTGGATGAGTTTATTTCAGGTAACCGGTTCATGCAGACAGACATGACAATACAAATTTTGAAAGTAAAGCGAAGCGAGGTGGATAAGGCCAGCGAGCCAACTAGATATGATGAAGCATGGCTCAATATTTATGGTCAGACAAAATAAGCTAAACATGTAATAAGCGATGTTAGTGGTGCACACACACACACATACTGCAACAGAATCAACCAAAATAAACACCAACAGCTGACAAATTCAAAAGACGAGAGAATAGTTACTCGGGCACAATGGATTAGTTAATTTGTTCGAAGGCTTAGGCAAACCCAGTGGGTTCGACGTAAAAGTACACGCCGTGTAAACAATATACCTAGGACTTTCGATATATCGAATTGCTTCATTCGGGTATTCAAAACAATGTAAATAAGCAATTGAAAGAATAAAATCAGTTTTAAGTCCGATTTTTTCATAAAGTGTCGAATCTAAGTTTATTACATTCAAGATTTATAATTTCATGTACAATTAATCCCAAAATAACGAAATGTACCATTTCTCTGTGTTGATTTCAATATATGACGGGGGGGGGAGGTGAGAAGATGTTATATAACATTCTAAGTGATTGGTTTTGTAATGAAAATATCCTCTTTGTTTATTGGAAATAATATTAATTAAATTAGCCTACGTATTTCTAATTCATAACATATTTCATATATAGATCATGTGTATCCTGTTTTATCCCAAAGAATTCTGTTTAAATATGAAGTGGAAATGATTTAGACAAATAAATTTTAGTGACTTTTTAAATTCATTCATAAAATTTGAAAACAACTCTAATCATGAAGACGACGATAAATGTATGGTATTATTATATTTAAAGGAAAAGATTGAAACATTGAGTTTATTTATGCCTTAATATTAGTTAGTTCATATGTGTAAACTTCATGTTATTTTCTAAAAGTTAAACGAATCCCTGTTGAATTTTCAATATGTCCATGATACTCTTCCATTGTGTAATTACTAGAAAGATCTTGAGTTATGTAATAATTTATATGAATAAGTAATACATTGTGGGGTTGTTGTGAAGATTGTTAAGTTTTATTTGTAACCGTTAATCGATCAATGTTAGACCACCATTAGAAACCTGGAACCACTGGACGGCCGTTTCGTCCTGGTATGGGACTCACCAACAGTTCTAGTGGGAAGTCGTGACCAGTGAAGTTCAAACCTGTTCAGATGTACACAGGGTATGAGGTTGCGCAACTCCGTGAATTTGATCAAGTTAGACATTAACACCTTTAGACATCGGCTCAGTGGTCTAACGGTTGGGGCGTTCGCGCACAATACCGAAGGTTCTGGGTTCAAACCCTGCGGCGTGCAGGAGTCGTGGATGCGCACTGCCACTGGTGAGTCCCATACCAGGACGAAACGGCCGTCCTTCAGTGCTTCCAGGTTTCTAATGGTGATCTAATATTGATCGATTCATGGTTACAAATAAAATAAGTATTAGTTTGTTTCTCTCTGTATTTATAAAATACAAGTTCGTAGTTTGTTTCTAAACAAACAGAATTATTCTGTTACTGTTTGTTTTTCATTTTCAAGAAAATCTTATCTGTTTATTGTTTTCTGCATAAATTAATGGTCACATCAACGTGTGAAGTCGGTGAAGTGTGTGTGTGCTTTTGTGCCAAGCTGACAGGGCTTGTCCCAAGCACTCAAACAAATCAGTTAATCCATTTTTCGCGAATTATTCAGACGTCTTTCGATCTTGCCAATTTTTCCCTTTTTGTCTTAGTTGTAAGCATGCTTGCTTCGCATATCGCATATCCGGCTTACCTATGTCTGACAGAAATACTGAACCATCATGCATCATCGCTTGGAGTTGGCTCACTCTGCTTGTATTCGATTGCCTGAAATAAATCCATCCAGCCGAATCCATATTTGGCTTCTTATTACCGCCCGTTGCACAAACGGGATTCGTCTAAGTATGGAAATGGAAGGAAAGATTTATTTCATCGTATACTCGATCATTTGTAAATAAAGGAGTCAGCTTATTGGGCCATTAAAATGGTGAGCCCTGTGGTGCGCGCTACTTATAAGTAGTATATGACGCGAGTTTAAACGTAATGTCTGGCAGCAGAAGATGGGGGAAGATCAAGAAAGGAAGAGTGGGAACACAATGCAATTTGTATGAAACGCATGAATAGTGAAATGTCAGATAATGGATTGATGTTTTGCAAAATTAACGGTTTAAGATATGGTTTTCCTATTTTACTGAGTAACTCTGTAATTTTCGTTAAATACAATTTGGTTGCCGTAACCTGTGTTCTCCTTCACTACAGCCCTACTTCGATTCTAACGCAACCACATCGGGTACGAAATTTTCTGGACAGAGACAAATTTCTATGGAGCTTATCTAAGATACTACATATATGGTACACACTATCCCTAGAAAGTGACTATATGTGTTATATACTGTGTGATAAATTTTATATTGACTTTATAAATTAATTATTGTGCGGCGTGACAATTTTTTATTGAGTAGTAAACGGATAAACAACAACATTCAAGCTTTGGAGACACGTATACACACACTAGGGTTACGTTGAATAATTAATCAATAATTAAGATGGAAACTAACCCTTAAAAAAATTCCACTGGGAACAAAATTGATTACAACATCTCGATGAAAATGTTAGTGATGAAATTCATTTATATATATATATATATATACTCAGTAAAATCGGAAAACCATATCGTAAATCGTTCATTTGCAAAATATCAGTTCATCATATCGAACTGGACTG